GGGGGGCGCGGCCCGCGGGAGGCTAGGTGGAGGCTCGGGGATGCTGCTGAGAGTCACGGAAAAAGCTCTCGTTTGCAAAGGCAGCCGGCCCCCGAGAGCTGGAATGGTCTGGCCGAGAGCCAAGGGACTCAGACCCGCTTTTGCTCCAGCGTTAGCCCCTCCTCCCGATCTCTGTCAGGGCAGGGCCCCGCACGCAGCGGCTTGTGGTCAAACGGCAGCGGGCGGTGGCAGGGGGAGTGATCTTGGTCTCACGCCCAGGGTTTTTCATGGGGGGCGCGTGCTAATCACCACAGTGTCCGTGCTCTCCCCCTGCCAGCTGACGAGGTAGCAGCCAGGGTAGCCTAGGCCGGAACGGAGCGCACAGCAGAGATGTCATCGTGTGACCGTTTCAACGGGTACTCGATAAGCAGGTTACCGTGATGGTTACGGGCCGCTCCCGGCCCCTGCACTGTATCAGAACCTGCAGCCGGCTCCTTGGGAGCGTGGTGAGAACCGTCCGTGCTCTCCCCCTGCCAGCTGACGAGGTAGCAGCCAGGGTAGCCTAGGCCGGAACGGAGCGCACAGCAGAGATGTCATCGTGTGACCGTTTCAACGGGTACTCGATAAGCAGGTTACCGTGATGGTTACGGGCCGCTCCCGGCCCCTGCACTGTATCAGAACCTGCAGCCGGCTCCTTGGGAGCGTGGTGAGAACCGGCTTAAAAGCTGGCTCATTGTGTGCACCGGCTCCCCAGGAGCCAGCTGCTGCCCTGCGCCGTGGGCTCCCAAGTATAAAGCTTTTATAACCCTTGGGCCGCCTGGCTTTAGAAAGCTTCTACTGCAGAGCCGCAGCACGTAACCGCAGAGATTTTCAGCAGTTACATGGTTACCCAATTATCCGCTTTTTCACCACATCCTCTGGCAAGGAGTTCCACAGGTTGTGCGCTGTGTGAAGCAAAACTTCCTTTTGTTTGTTTTAACCTTGCTACCTCGTCATTTCATTGGGTGACCCCTCGTTCTTGTATTGTGGGAATAAATAAATATCTTTTCCTGACTCTTTTTCCTCACCTGTCATGATTTTATAGACCTCTGTCCTATCCCGGGGGGGGAGGGGAGACGGCATCGGGCTGCCCGATTTCTGGACAGCCCATGAAATTGCGGCTTATGCTGGGCTCCAGCCCGGCTACCCTGGGCGAGGATAGCAGGCCCGGGGGCGGGCGGCTCGTTCTGCTGAGGGCTGCAGGGGCGAGGCGAGGAGGCCGAGTTCGCAGGGTGGGATTGAAGTGTCTTTTTTTTAAAGCCAATAAAACTGTTCATTTGTCGCTAGCCGGAGGAGTCGGCGGGTGCTGCCTTGGCAGCTGGTAGAAACGGTCCTCTCCTTCCAGGTCCTGTACGTGATGGAGCTGATGCAGAACCAGGAGGAGGGCAGAGCTTACTTCAGCTCCATTTCAGAGTTCTTTGGCAGCTGAGAAACGGTCCTCTCCTTCCAGGTCCTGTACGTGATGGAGCTGATGCAGAACCAGGAGGAGGGCAGAGCTTACTTCAGCTCCATTTCAGAGTTCCTCCTCACCCACCCGGTGCTGAGCTTCGGCATCCAGGCGGTGAGCCGCTGCCGGCTGCGGCACCC